ATTTTGAAAGTGATGAGGGCAACAAATGTCCAAATGTGCTTGACACAATGGATGGATGGATGGATTGTGATAAGAGTTGTATGAGCCCCCAATAATATGATTTAAAAAATAGGGAAATTATCAAACTATCATTAATATGCCACGTAAATATTTTGAGTGTTCTCATATGCATGTGAAATTTGGACAGTGAATAAGGAAGACCAGAGGAGACTTCATGCATTTGAAATATATATAGCTTTGGCAGATAACATTGAAATACCATGGAGTGTGAGAAGAAAAAACAAATCTGTCTTGGAAGAAGTACAGGCAGAATTCTCCTTAGAAGAATCGATGGTGAAATTTTGTCTCATGTACTTTGAATGTGCTGTCAGGAGAGACCAGTGTCAGAAGTACATTATAAATAGTAAAATCGAGCGGAGCAAAACAGAAGACTCTCAAAGAGATGGGTTGACATGGTGAGTGCAAGTGGGCTCAGACTCAGCAATAGTGAAGATGTTGCAGGACCTGGTAGAGATGCCTAGGGTCACTATGAGTAAAAACCAACTCAATGACACCGGACAACAATGTTCATTTTTATGAATTGCAAAATTTTGCATTAGGTGAGAAACTATATATGATGGTACTTCACAAAATTTGAGGGAAACTGGAGTTAAGAGAAAATGGAATTTTCCCACAAAAGTTTTAAAGTACTCGTGTGTATTTATATATATGTATATGAATACATATATATGTATAGATATACATATGTTTGTATATTTTCGTGATCTGAATAGAGAATTCAATATTTTGGACAAAGGTCACATTCTTGGGTAAGGAAAAATCGTCTTGGTAGACTACTTCTAAGACTGTTAGTATTCTGATGGTACACAAGACACTGTTCTGGAGGAGACAATACAGATAGAGCAGAGTAAACTGGATTACAGATATTTTACCTGACAGTAAATAACATTCTCATGTTTTTAACCTAAAAAAATTAGCAAATTATTATAAATAAAACGTATGTCCATGATAAGGTAGCCAATGTATTAATTGAGTAAAACAACAATTGTCATTGGTTATGGGGTTTCAGTGCTCCAAGAGACATTTTAATTGTCACACTGAGGAATTATTACTATAATTGGTAAATATTTTACAATAACAGGACAGCTCCACGCAACCACGATTAAAGTGTCTAAGAGCTATTATAATGCCTAGATTAAGAAACTATCTCTTAGGATTTTTTTGTTCTTAACTATGGGAGGTCTGCATGCCATGTTGTGCCCTAAATATTTTTCAGAAATTAATTTAACAAATAATAAGATAATTTACAAAAGAGTAATCATTATAATGATTTCATAATTTTATTCCATCTGAAGTTGAACAGAAGTGTATTTTTGTATACTTGGAAGGAAGAAGCATGAATGCCATGTCTATCTAGCTAAGTTAGGCAGGAAAAACAATTTGGAGGAGAAAACAATGGGACCTCAATGCAAGAACACTTTGTTCTAATAACCCAGCACTCTATGATGTTCACCTTCCCGACGCGATCACTGAAGACAAAATGGGTGCATAGGCAAATGTGGTGAAGAAAGCTGATGGTGCCTGGCTATCAAAAGATATAGTGTCTGGGGTCTTAAAGGCTTGAAGACAAACAAGCAGCCATCTAGCTGAGAAATAACAAAGCCCACATGAAAGAAGCACACCAGCCTGTGTGATCACAAGGTGACCATAGGATCAGGTATCAGGCATCAAAGACCCAGAACAAAAAATCCTATCTATGTGAATGAGGGGGATGTCAGAGTGGAGACCCAAAACTCATCTGTAGACAATTGGGCATGCCCTTACAGACGGGTCCAAGGAAGAGATGAGCTAGTCAGGGTGAAATATAGCACTGATGAAACATACAACTGTTCCCTAGTTCTTTAATGCTTCCTCCCCACTTCTAGCATGACACCAAGTCTACCTTACAAATCCTACTAGACCAGAGCATGCGCACTGGTACAGATAAGAGCTCACAACACAGGGAATCCAGGACAGATAAACCCCTCAGGACCAATAATGAGAGTAGTGATACCAGGAGGTGGGAGGAGGGAAGGAGAATCAATCACAGTGATTGACATATAACCCCCACACCAGAGGGATGAACAACAGAAAAGAGGATGACGGAAGACAGTGGACGATGTAAGATATCATAATAATAATAATTCATAATTTATCAAGGGTTCTTGAGGGAGGGAGGGAAAATGAGGAGCTGATACCAAGGACTCAAGTAGAAAGAAAATATTTTGAAAATGATGATGGCAACATATATACAAAAGTGCTTGACACAGTGGGTGGATGTATGGATTGTGATAAGAGCTGTAAGAGCCCTCAATATAATGATTAAAAAAAAAGAAGTAATGCCATATATCTGGTTTAAGCAGTCCACTAGTAGGATGTTGGTAGCATTGTCCAAGATAGGTAACACCGGTGAGAGATCCAAGTGTGTAGAAGATGCTTAGTTCAGATTTTACATTTGTAGAATATGAGGTGCTTGATAGTTATCAAGGGGAAGTCCTAAACATCAGATACAGCTGTTTTGACAAGCCCTGGATTTAAGATCTGGCAGTATAAATATGTAAGTTAGGCCTAGGATTGGGTGTAGTCAGCCAGTAGAGTACTAGCTTCAGAAGAGAAGAAGAGTACCTTATATCATGTCACAGACCTTAGGAATACCAACATTGAAGAGAAAGAAAGAAAAGAATCCTGCAAAGGAAACTGCATCATCTCCAGATAAGTAATTGGAAGGAATTCAGAGGGTAGTCTTCTAAGATGAAGAGAATGTTCCTAGATAGAAGGAGTGATTATTGACAAGGAGGCTGCTGATGACATTGGTGGTTGTAAGAGTGACTTGAAACCAAACTGCATTGGGTGGAGAAATACATGGTAAAAAAAGAAATTTGTGGATAATGTTTTGTGTAAAGTTGACTGTCTGAGGAAAAGACTTAGAGGGGACCTGGGCTGAAAGGAAGGCTGTGTGTGTGTGTGTGTGTGTGTGTGTGCGCGCGCGTGTGCGCGCGCGCTTCTAAAACATTCGTGTTTTGAAATATCTGAGTATATTCTTCATTGGTACATTAAAATATAGCATAATATATTTTAATTTATATTGAAGCTCATAAAGAAAAAATTATCAATAAGTATGTTTTACATGACTTTATTTTAAAATGTGTATTTGCCCTCAAGGTCAGAGTGGATAATAACATTTCATCATATATTTTTTTACATAATAATATTTTACCTAGTTGCTTCGATTCTGATTCAGTCAGCATGAAAATAATTCTGTTAATTAGCATAGTTATAGGTGTCTGTTTCACACTCAAATATTATTTCATTTTTCAGATCTTTCACGAAATCGCTTTACAGAGATTCCTTCTGATGTCTGGTTATTTGCACCACTTGAAATATTAAACTTGTACCATAATTGCATCAAAACTATTCCTGAAGCCATTAAAAACCTGCAGATGTTAACATATCTTAACATTAGGTAAGGAAACTGTTTTCTTTGGTAAATCTTGGCATTATTTAGGTTCTAATCATTTTTACTAGCTAAGGAATGTATTTATTTTGGCCACGTAACCTACATTTATCTCAACAGTATCTTATTTGTATTTTTATATTTTCACATTACTTCCTGGGCTTTTTGGACTTGTTCCTGAAAGTCATGCTTCTCAAACTTTGATGTACACCAGATGTCACCTAGGAATCTTGTGAAAGTGTAGATTTTACTTACGTCTGTAGTGTCTAACAAGCCCCCTAGTGGTTCTCAGAGCGGATAGTACATAGACTTTACTTTGAATAACAAGGTTATAGAGTATAAATACTTTCCTGAAATCATAGCACCACAGTATAGATTTATATGTATACAGCTTGTTAGTGTGGACCGGTGTATAATTACGTAGTAATTTGATTGGTAGTAAAATTTATGTAGTAACCACTAATGCCAAAGGTGAAGAAATTGAAGAATTTTACCAAGTTCTTCAATCTGACCCTAACCCACTAGGCCACCAGGGCTCCTATAATGATCTAAAGAGTGCTGTGAAACCAGATACATGTGCTTTATTCTGGATTATGGGATATAGTATACAAGCTTTTCATTGCCAGGGAGTTGCTGAGATTTTTATTTTTCATTTCTGAAAATAGAGAGGTAGACCAAACACGTTTGGGAACGGTCGGTGCTCTGGCACAGGGCGAGCCATCTGTGTCTCTGGAGTCATATGCAGCTCTTTCGGTATGTGTATGTGGCTCTGAGATCAAGTTGAAAAACGAAAAGAGAGCTATCAGAGTTTCATTTATAAAAAATTGTGAAAGGTATTATTCCGATAATGGTGATTTCAGTTGTTGGTAAAAAAATATGTGTATGGTTCCTAAATAATATTTACATTGTTGTGAGGGGCAGGGTGGGCTCATCATCTCAAGAGTTTGCCGAGCCCTGCTCTAGGCCCTTGTTTCCCTCCGCTCCCCTCTCCTCCCCAACCCTGGTAGCCATCGAAGTCTGTTTCTTTTTGAGAATGTGTATTTGAAAATACCAGTGGTTATTTTTCAAAAATAAATTTCATTTCTGCATCGTCTTAATATGTAAAGCATGCATTAGGATAGAGTAATATAATTTTCTTTGATTCATTCCTGTTTTGTTCTCTAAAAGCAGACTCTTGTTTGTCATTGTAGTCATAATTCTGGTGGGGGAACAACCCGTACAGACATACCTCTGGTTTTAGTTACTGACTCCCTTTGATTGTCTCTGAATATGTAATAAAAAAGTGAAGATTGCTGATGAGCTGTATATGAGGAAGCCAGATGCTAGAAGAGGCTGACTCTCTGAACCTGCTTATTAAGGGAAGAAGATACTTCACCTTTGTTTTTCTTTCTTGTTTACTTTTTAAACCTTTGGGAACATTAGGATGAGATTTTGGATGCCATTATGTTTCCCTGTTGCTTATCTTTATTTGGGTGGACATGTCTTGATAAGCCTGTAAGATGCTTTTTTCAGTGGTGTGTCTCATCTTGCATGCGTTCTCCTTTTTCAGCCCAGTAATTCTGCAGGAAGATCATTTGGTGCTTCAGTGTGAAGGGGCCCAGGCAGGCCCCTTTCACAGGAGCTCATTTCACCCTGATAGTATCAAGGGGTTGTGATGGCCCCTAACATATTTCACATTCCAGCAGTTAAGCCTGGCCTGCTCGTCTAGAGGCATTGCTTTTCTTTTCTTTCTTTCTTTAAAGGAAGTCAGTGCTCTGCAAAGGCAGCCTGGTGTTTCTGGATGTTCTGTGCAGGGATAAAATGGGATGAAGGTAAAGCTGCTTGTCTTTTGGAGAAACACTGGGCATGTTTTTCCTGGTAGTCACAGGTCTGTGCCATTCTTGAAAACTAGGAAAACTAATAGCCAGCTGCTTATCAATCCCTGTTCGTAGGAGAACACATTCTATCTTTGGTTATGAGATCGTTTGGGTCAGTCTGTGCATAGGCAAGTACATTTAACCATACTTGACCATAGGGTTAAGAAACCGAGAGCCAGATTACTTGGGTTGGAATCTGGCTAAACCACTGATGAGCTGTGTGACTTTCAGCAGGTTACTTAAACTTCTTTGTGACTGCTTGAAACGAGGATAATGATAGTATCTATTTTCATACAGGAATCCCTGGGTGGTGCAAATGGTTACTCTGCTTGACTGCTAACTGAAAGGTTGTAGGTTTGAGTCCAATCAGAGGTGTTGTTGGAATTGCGGTGGAAGACAGTTCTACTCTGATACACATAGGATTGTCCTGAGTTGTGATGGACTTAACAGCAACTGGTGTATCTTCATGAAGGAGTAGTTGTTAGTAGCTGCCTTTGAACAAGCTCCGGAATCATAGTGCCCCCAGGTACAATGGATCCAAAGGCTGCCAAGTTCTGGACCATCCCTGTGATCATTTGCAGATCGGATAGATGGTTATTACCTGAAGGGTTGTCAGTAGCTGCTTTTTGGAAAGAGAGTGCCAAGCCTTTCTTCCTCCTTTGTCTGAATGTTCTGCTGAAACCTGTTCTGCATCATAGCAACATGCAAGTGTTCACTGATGGACAGGTGGTGGCTGTGCATGGGGTGTATTGATTGAGAATCTTTGGCAAGGAAGGTAAGAATTGTACCGCTGAACCACCAGTGCCTGCCCTGTGAGGGTCAGTTGAACTAATGAACATGAAGTGCTCCAAATATGGTCTGTCAAATGGCAAATACCATAAATGTTAGTTGTCTTTAAATGTGAATATGAAGATAAAAACGTTGCAACCATTCTGAGCTGAAGAGGCGTTTTGACCAAAAACCACACCCAAAACAAATGGATTATGATAATTTCATGCTTCTGAACATATTATCTTATTTATTCGTTTTACAAGGTAAACATGCCATGTGAAAATTTATTCTTGGAGCTTCTTTTCCATGAAGAGACTTGGATGTATTGAATATAATAAAAAGATACCAAAGAGAGACTGGCATTTTCCAACTCAGAAAAATCATTCTGGGATTTTGAGAACTAGTGATAATATTAGACAGTATCATAGCCAACAGCACAGGCTTTGCAGCCAGACTTAATGTATGTCTGCTGTGCCTGGGCCAGTTTTATCCTTTGTTTTGATATCCATATCCTGGAGATAATAGTACTACTTATTTTGTAGAATTACCATGAGGATTAATTGAGATCGGTTCTGGGAGGAATCTAGCACCAAATTTGAGACAAAGTCAACCCTCATTCAATGATGGTTATTTCGTGAGCCTACTCCTTACATTCCAGGTGGCTTATTCTTTTTCAGCATAACATGTGCGGTTTCAGACATACTTTTATAATGAGACCTTTTTCTTTTTTGCAGTCGAAATCTTTTGTCAACACTGCCAAAATACCTGTTTGATCTCCCCCTTAAAGTTTTGGTTGTCAGCAATAATAAACTGGTATCCATTCCAGAAGAAATTGGGAAGTTAAAAGATTTGATGGAATTGGTGAGTAAATTGGCTATGTGAATTATATATAATATGCAGTATATATACCTTACATATTATATTTATTCCTCTGTGGGATTCTGTTGTAATTTGTAAACTTGATATATGACTAAGCATACTGTATTAAAATTTTGAGATACCCACCATTATGGTCTGATTTTGGTTTCCAGTCACGAATCAGGCCAGGTTGTTGCTTAGGTAGGCCTACTGAGGTCAGATACTAAATGGACACCTGCCCCTCCCCCAAGAAGAATTTATTTCAAAAGACGACATTGAATCCACAGCTCTGGGAGAGGGACATATCTGATCAGAGCACACGGGTGCAGATTAAGGGGGGGAGGGGAGAGAGTGGAGCACATCCTGACCCACCAAGCCTTGAGGACGATGATCCCAATTAGAGCGCACACAGAGAGGTCCACAGAGAGGACCACACGGCCAGCACCACTATGAGACATGACGCCTCTCACTGACCCATAGCCCTACAGGGGACAACATCGGAGACACAGTGTAGGAATTGCACCCGATCTGATCCCCCCACACCAAGGCAAAACACTAAGGAGTGCAACAGAACAGCAAGCGAACGAACAGAGTGGTGAGGTCCCCAGGGAATGTTGAAGGTGGACTTTGGGGCCAGGGCGTGGTGCCCCAACAGACTGGACTGGAAAACACTCCTAAAGGGCAACAAACAGTCCTTGAACTAACTGCAAGCTTTTCTTTCTTGTTGTGCTTTGTTTTGTTCTTTGTCATTGGTTTGTTGTTGTTTTGTTGTATATTGTTGCTTGGTTTTGCTCTGTCTTGTTTTTGTGCATGTTATTATCTCCGCAGATCTGTCTAAATAGGATAGGCCAAATGAACAATCTGGAGGAGAAAACAATGGGACCGACAGTTCCGGGTGGACATGGGAGAAGGGGAGGTGGGCAGAAAGGAAGTGGTGTTAACAAACCCAGGGACAAGGGAACAACAAGTGATCCAAATTGGTGGTGAGGTGGGTGTGGGAGGCCTGGTAGGGCATGATCAAGGGTAATGTAACAAAGAGGAATTGCTGAAAACCCTGGTGGGGGACTGAGCATGATAGTGGGCCAGAAGGAAAGTCAAGGGAAAGAAATAGAGGAAAGAGCTGGGAGGCAAAGGGCATTTCTAGAGGTCTAGATAAAGACATGTACATATGCAAACATATTTATATATGAGGATGGGAAACCAATTACAAGGATCTACATGTGACCTGCTCCCTGGGGGGCAGACAACCGAAAATTGGGTGAAGGGAGATGTCGGATAGGGCAACATATGACAAAATAATAATTTATAAATTATCAAGGGTTCATGAGGAAGTGGGGAGTGGGGAAGGAGGGGGCAAAAAGGAAGACCTGATGTCAGGGGCTTGGGTGGAGAGCAAATATTTTGAGAATGATGAGGGCAATGAATGTACAAATGTGCTTTACACAATAGATGGATGTATGGATTGTGATAAGAGTTGTATGAGCCCCTAATAAAACAATTAAAAGAAAGAAATGCTTTTCAAGCTAATAAAGAGTTGCTTATCCATTTTGTGAGTAGTAAAGGTCTTAGGGAGAAAATAAGATTTAAAAAGTTTTAAAAAACAATATTACAAGTCTGTTGTAAGGACCTCACATAAAGGGAATAAAAAGAAAGTACAGGTTTGGAAAAAGAATGAGCAAAAAACCTCATATCCTTACAGGATTTGATAACTCATTGAAACAAGAAAAATGGAGACAATTGTTTGGTTTGCAATCGATTGCCAAAATATAGGAAACATTTTAAGTAATTGCTTTGACTATAACATTAGAGGCATTAGAAGGACATTGATTCCCAGAGACAGATAATCGGAGGCTCAGGGCACTGAGCTATAACCTCCAGCTTATCTAATATACCACCTGGTTTACTTCATTTTCTGGTTTATCTTGAATAATACTTAAAAATAAATTTAAATTTTTGAGGAGTCGTGAAAATATACAGAACAAAATATACAGCAACGTGTGTGTGCGCGCGCGCGCGCGCGCGCACGCGCTCGCGCGCTCGGGTGCATGCGTCTGATGCAGCCCTAGTGCTTTTTTCCAAAACTTCCTTTGTTAATAATCTTTTATTATTTTGAAAGCAGTTGCTTCTATGGCTCTGGTCCTATCATATGAGACATAAATAATGACAATCTTTTTTCTTTTATATATTTGAAACCTGTCCTGTGCCTACTATCCATTTTACCAAACTTCTAATATCTTAATTCCTTTGTATTTTCAGTTAGAAATTAGCAAAAGGATGTAGATAGGATCTAATAAGTTCAAAGTAAATGGGGGCCATTGACTTCTTTGTCCTAGACATTGTTAGTGTTTTTAATGGTTTTTAAACGTGCCATGCTTTAAGATTCTGTGGCTCTGGAATTTCTCTTTCCTTCTTTTCTCCATTCAGTGTTTGGTCCCTTGTTCTAAATTACATGATGTGAGATCCTGGATAGATGCAATGTTAATCAATACAGAGGTTCTGAAGATTTATTCTAGTAATTTTGAGTAGACCATTTTTAAAGCATCGTTATTTTACTAAGAACTACAAAATTATAATGCTTTAAATTCAATGAAATCTGGGAGTTAACACTTAGAAGGCTCAATTGCCACTGTAAATCACAGTGAATTTGTGGGCCCTGTCATTGGGATATTTTCCCATGACACTGTTCTACAAGAATGTTGTAACCAATTACCATGTAATTCTGACATTAGAAACCTAGGGAAAACTGGCTTCTAGTCCTCAGCAGAGTATTTTATAAAGTGTCTTTTGGATAGTGGGTCAGTTTCCTATGACTGCATTTTCTATCTTTTGCGGCAGAGAGTGGGGGGGTTGGGGGGGGCGGGAATTGACTGCTAACAATCAATTTCTATGGACATCTTTGGTGTTAAGCATCGTTGGGAAGAAGCAATTATGTTGACTTCAAGGGGAATTCCTCTGATGTTTTATTGTCCATTGTTTGCATAATAGTCTACTTCAGAATAACAGCTAACATGATCTCATTAAAACATGAGAGAACATTTCATGACCGTTTTTTTTAGAAGTCTCTCAGGAGCCCTGGTGTGGTGGTAATTGCCTGTTGGGCTGCTAGCCACATGGGAAGAAAAGGAGGCTTTCGCCTCCCATAAAGATTGACAGTCGCGGAAACCCACAGGGGCGGTTCTACTCTGTCCCATAGGGTTGCTATGAGTTAGAATTGACTCGATGGCGGTGAGTTTGACGTTTTTGAGTACCTTGTACGCGGCTCTAACCGACCAGCCCCGGAGAAGGGCATCGGTGTTGATAAAGTAGAGGGTCAGCATAAAAAGATACAGACTGTCAAGGGGATGGATTGATCCAGTGGCGGCAACAGTGAGCTCAAGTACAGCAAGGATTGTGAAGATGGTGCCTGATCAGGCGGTTCTTTATTCTGGTTTACATGAGAATCAGCTCCATGACACCCATCAACAACAAGTTTCTGCTCATATCTCTAAGAGTAAAAGCCAAAGTCTAACCTCTCCCCTAACTGACTCTTTTCCCTCTGTCCTTACTGGATTAGTCTGCCTAAGGGTTTTTACATTTATTGGTTTTTTTGGAGGGGGGGGATTGGGGTCTGGAATATTTCTTTCTTGTTCACTCAACTCTGACAACACTTTAATTCCATATCAGCTTCTCCATTGCATAAATATCACTTCAAAGAGACTATCTAAATTGTCATTATCCTCTTTCTCCAGGACCTATCAAAAAGCTCACTGCCATCGAGTCAATTCCGACTCAGAGCGACCATGTAGGATAGAGTAGAACTGTCACTATCGGTTTTGGAGACTAAATCTGATGGGGGTAGAAAGTCTTTTCATTTTCCTTTACCCTGCTGTGTTTTAATTTTCACAGCATATATCACCCTCTTGCATATTGTTTAATGGACTTCCCTCTCTATACGTAAACTCTAGGAGGAAGTATGAGGACAGGAATTTTTGTTTTGTTTTGTGATGTATCTCCAGCACCTAGAAGAGTGCCTAGCAATAGCACAAAGATTTGTTTGTGAAGATTCTTAGATATCCTTTGAAAGAAATACTTAAGATGCGTGTTTCTGTACATCTGTAGCTTTGTTGTATTATTCCTCACATGGCTTTAATAATCTTTTGAACCTATTGTTAAAAACTGTCAAAGTACAGGTAAATTTGAGCACAACAGAGAAACGATGCTGATTCCAGGAAAGGTAAATAATTTGAAGAAGCTAGGTAGGTATCATGAGGGTTATGATGATAAGAGGATGAAGGAATTGGAATCTTCATGCAACCGATTGAACTCTGCCTTCCCCCCTTTACTAAAATCAACTGAAGTGAGATTATTTTCAGCCCAAACCAAAGAAACAAACTCACTGCCATTGAGTCGATGCTGACTCATAGTGACCCCGTAGGACAGGGTAGAACTGTCCCCTGTGAGTTTCTGAGACCAACTGTTTATGGGAGCAAAAGCCTGTCTTTCTCACTTGGAGTCACTGGTCATTTCAAAGTGTGGGCCTTGCAGATCGGGTTGCAGCCCAACTCTTCACCACTAGGCCACCAAGATGCTAATACAGTATTTACTTGAATATAAGGCACCCAATCTTACAACAAAAACTGCATAAAAAATGCGCCGAAAACTTGACTCATACCTGAGTATGTACGGTAATTATGCTGTTATGGACCTGTCCCCATAACCCTTTTTTGAGATTTAAATGAGGATGTATCTTCATCATTTCAAACTGGATAAGACAGATTTATGTTGATGTAGTTTCTGGCAGGCATTTACAGTTTGGGTCAAGCTTTTGATGGTTAATATTTTATTTCCTGGTGGTGCTATTGGGTAAGTGTTGGAGTCCAGTTGCTCTTTAGGGAGAAAGGTAAGGAACCTTGGAAGGAACCTTGGTGACACAGAGGTTATGAGAAGTGTTAGCAGTTCTAAAACAGTCGCTCTGCTGGCGAAAGATGGTTCTTTCTACTCCTTTAAAAAGTTACCGCTTTGGAAACTTACAAGAGCAATTCTACCCTGAGTCCTATGAGGCTCTGTGAGTCCTCATCGACTTGACGGCAGTGAGTTGAACTCCTGTAATCATTTACAGCCTCAAAAAAATTCCATAAGGTCATTGTGAGTCAAAAATTGACTCAATGGCGGTGGGTTTGGTTGGGTTTTGGAGAAGAAAAGCCGTATAATTGAAGAACAGGTCTGTTAAAATTTTCTTTATTCAACACCTTTTAAAATAGTAATTAGAATTTTATTGTAGTTCTTGGTGAAAATATTTCTTGGTGAACATATTGTTCAACCTTCTCACTATTTTTGTGTGAGCTGTTCCATTACCATTGGTTTTGTCCCACGTCTGCCTCCAACTTTCTCATGCATTATTTAGAGTAACTGTTGACCATTTGGTCTCATATATGCACATTTTTTATGAGTTCAATATTCAAGGGTGAGCATACCTGCTATTCAGTTAAAAGGTATTATCAGTAGAGAGGGTATCAAGGGAGTAGCCTCCAGGGTTCCTCCAGTCTTTGTGGGTCTCATAGCTCTGGAGGTTTTCAAAATCGAAGTTCTGTTACACATTTCTATCCCACTATTTTTGGCTTCATCGGTTGTAACCCTGATTAGAATGTTCTGTACTGGCAGCCAGGCACCTTTCTTTACTTTAGATAGAACTGAATATTTGCTCCACATCCCTCTCTTCAAACTAATAAAATTTTCAGAGGAAACTGGAAATTGGAGGCTATTGCCGTCAAATATGCATTTCCTTTGCTGTGTGTTTAGAAGGCTTGATGCCTGAAATCGTGTTGCAGATTTTTCCTCCACTTTTGTTGATGTGATTACAAGAAAGAGGGAAGGGGAAGGAGAACAAGTTGACTTAAGGTGTTCTTTATTCCGGTGGTGTAGTAGTTATGTGTTCAGCTGTGATTTACAAGGTCAGCAGCTCGAAACCACCAACAGCTCCACAGGAGAAAGAAGGGGCTTTCACTCTTATAATCAGTTATAGTCTCAGAAACTCACAAGGATGGTTCTACTCTGTCCTGCAAGGGTCGCAATGAGTCAGCATGGACTGGATGGCAGTGAGCTTGGTTTTATTACCTTATCCAGTGACATAGTGTAGGAGACCTGGTGGTGTAGTTGTTATGCTTTGGGCTGTGATCCAAAATGTCAACAGTTCTACTTTAGTCCTCTAGGGTTACGATGAGTTGGTGTCGACTCAATGACAATGAGGTTGGTATTTTTGTTTTGCTTGGTTTTGTTTTTGAGTGTGAGTGGCATAGTGGTGTAGTGACTTACGCCTTGAGTGGCAACTGTAAGGTCTGTAGTTTGAACCCACCAGCCAATCTGAGGGAGAAAGATTAGGCTTTTGGTTCCAGGGAGATTTAGTTGTGGAAATCTGCATGGGAAATTCTGCTTTGTCCTGTAGAGTTTCCAGGAGCCAGAGCCACCTTCATGGCAAGTGGGGATTCTCCCTCAGAACGGAACTGCCTCGTCATCCGTCCTAGTTGTCTTAGTTTAGAAGCCATGAGGCAGCATGGACGAGAATCTCTGTTTACCTTTAAAGCGGGGCTTGGCTTTATAACTGAACCCAGTGAGATTTCCCATTCAGATCTCTTAGAATATCTTTGGGTTGAGTTATAAGCCACAAGGAAAATTTCTGCGCTCGTTTTGTGTTCCTTTGGAGAAGGAAGTTGCGTTCCCTCCATCTTCAATCATCGTCTTTGGTTTCCTAATTCACATCCGTACATCTTTTAGTTCCGTAGCTCTCTGCCCAATCAGGTATCTCAAAACAACGACTATAACTGACGGATTATCAAAACGATTGCTAATTGTTAACCTCTTGTTGCACTTTTGCCTGAAGGACATCTGGTTGTAGGTGGGGAGAGTTAATCTTCAGGTGAGAGTTGGAGAGGATGACTTATGTAGCTGCTAAGCTATAAACCCCACGTTTTGTACAGAAAGAACAAATTATGTTGACTTCAGGATTACTTCATGTTGTAATAGAAATAAAAATCTGGCAGATAATCTATCTTCAGAGAATTGTCATTATAGGTCACCTTTCCCAGCTATTCACAATGTGCTTTAATCTAAAAATTGGATATCTGTCCTTAAGTATCAGTTTGGTATAATGTCATTTTCTTGTTTTCCTTAGGATATTAGCTGCAATGAGATTCAGGTCCTTCCCCAACAAATGGGAAAATTGCATTCACTACGAGAGCTAAATATAAGAAGAAATAATCTTCGCGTGTTGCCAGATGGTAAGGTGTTGGCTATTTTTACTGATATGAATCAAAGAGGGACTATATAAAATTTAATTCCATTATTGTTCTTCTTTTGAACAGAATTAGGAGCTCTTCCCTTAGTAAAGCTGGATTTCTCGTGTAACAAAGTGACTGAGATTCCAGTTTGTTACAGGAAGTTGCATCATTTACAAGTCTTACTTTTGGATAACAATCCGTTGCAGGTACCACCAGCACAGGTTTGTAATAAAGAGATCGTTTATTTCTATTTACTGTTTCTAATACAGAAAATATAATTTTAAAACACCAGGATTAAATGCGAATTAGCTGTTCAGGTGCTATTGTCAAAAGGAGTTCTAGAAGTGATTGACGGGAGTTTTAGTTTAACTTCTAAAATAGGATATGGAAAACCCTGTTAACTTTTTGTTTGTGAACTGATCGTTCTGATGGTCAGTGTTGTTTTAAAAGGATCGACTACAATCTCACTTTCTCTCCATCTACTAGTTAGTTATGTGTCTTATATGGGATTTGTTTGATGATTGATTCGAGCATATTCTTGGCACTGGTAGAAGATTAAATTTTTTTAAGGTCTTTGCTTTTTTAAAAAAATCAATTTACTGGGGCTCATACAATTCATCACAATACATAGATCAGTTGTGTAAAGCACATCTATACATTTGTTGCCCTCATCATTCCCAAAATTTGCTTGCCTCTTGGGTTCCCGGAATCAGCTCATTTTCCTTTCCCCCCTTCCCCTCCCTTCCCCCTCCCCCCTCCCCCATGCACCCTT